CGTTAATTAGGGGGACATTACCGTATAACGTAGAAATTGACGCGCTACAACGATCGGGAAATTTTAACACTTAGCCAACCGAACGGGGAGATCTCGCCGTTTTAAATTCAGTCGATTGACGACCGAATGGATGATTAATGATAAATTAAAAATGATTGCTTAATTTCATTAAGATTTGCAATGCCATATAAGTTTGCTTCATAATTTTTGTTTAATCGAACGAAATATTTTAATTTTATGAAAATTTTTGAGGTTCCTAGCGCGGTCGTGGAAGTGTTAAAAAAAGGTCTCACAGTACAATTTTATCGGAAAGTAATTACAACAGTTCAATCATTGAAATGAATGTATTCAAAATAATAGAACGATTAAAAGAATTCAGGGACATCGAAGCATTATCTTGAACACATCCAACTAATTACAGAAGGGAAGATATTTTTATTTGGTCCAAGTTCCCGGCAAGTTTTAAAGATTTTGCGCGAACGTCCGCGTCGCGAACGAAATTCCAAGATCGCGAATTAATAAATTCGCCGAGAACTACGTCTGTCTGCTAAATCACGTCGTAACGACGTAAACAACTAGTAATCATGTTACGCGCGTAAGCTATCAATCACAGACTCCTACCATATAAGCAGTACACGCTGCTCGAATGGTTTGAATCGCGGTTTCGGAAAAGTGAATAAGCGGCGCGCATAAGCACGCAGTACATACTTAAAATGCGATATATATATATATATATTGTATATTATTATTATATATTATATATATATATGTATATAATATTATTATTATTATATATATATATATGTATATAATATTATTATTATTATATATATATATATATATATATATATATATATATATATATATATATATTTAATAGAAACAGTAAAAGAGTAAATCAGTAAATCAGTAAAACAGTAAAACAACCATAAACGAAAATATATTGCACTCACTCTTTACAGTAAATCCCTAATAATTCCCTAGTAATTCACCGATTCGTCTTCAGCTTGTAAACACAAATGGACAATGTGGGGAGAGGAGATCCGCTTATCCGACCCTTGCGCCTCGTTTCTACAATTATTTACAATCGGTAACCATAAAAACGAGTTTCAAGGCTCGAACAATCGTATCCCCTCTTCCGAAATTGTTCATTCTTGTTTACAAAAGCTGAAGAAAGATTCCGGAGAGAATTTACTCGAGTTTCTCCCGCGAATAGCAAAGATTTGAGCGACGATGCGCAAACCAATGGGGACAAAGGTGCCGCGAGGCCGGAGAGCCTAAATTTGCTCAAGCCGAGACCGAATAGGGTCTGCGTTTCATTGGTAAACGGCACCTCGAGAGACGACCATCTTCTCGGGCGACGCGTGAAGGAACGCTCTGACAAAACGCGGCCGAGACAAAACGGGGACGAAAAGGGATTGGACCATTTGGACGCGTGTGGGGGTAAGATGATAAACGGCTCGAGGAAAAGAAGCTAGAAAAAAGGATCCGGTGTCGTCCCCACCATGGCCCAGGGCAGAACGACGTTTTGTCCATTCACCGTTCTCGCTCGTCGGCCGAATGTCACCGATTATTCGTTTAACGGGACCTGCTCGTCCTGCGTGGTGGTGAACGATGGTTTCTCCGGCAGCCAATCGTCGGTTAGGGGTTCCGGGCCGCTCGGCGGTCAGTTGATGAGCACGCCGTTTCGTGCGAGCATTGGTTCCGCTTTTTCATTATCGAGTCGTCGCCCGAGTCGTCTGCGTTCTAGTCGCGTCGCGTCGTTTCTTTTTTCTCTCCGCGACTCCTCGTGACAATCGGATCCGCGAAACGGTACCCGAACTCGGTCGAGAGGCGTCGTCGCCGGGTTTCACGCGATCATAGGGGAACTGGCTGGACGCCTAGCTCGCGCTTAGGCGTGCACTCTCGGTCGCCGCCGATCGACATTGTTCGTTCGCGAGCCGCGAAGGTCACCGAAGTTGTCGCGCACACCTCGTATGGGGCGACCCAAGGATCCCTCCTGAACCCTAATTCTGATTTCGAGTGCTGTATTCTAACTCTGATTTCGAGTGCTGTATTCTAACTCTGATTTCGAGTCCTGTACCCTAACACCGATTTCGAGTCCTGTACCCTAACACCGATTTCGAGTCCTGTACCCTAATTCTGATTTCGAGTGCTGTACCCTAACTCCGATTTCGAGTCCTGTACCCCAACCCTAATTTCGAGTCCTGTACCCCAACCCTAATTTCGAGTCCTGTACCCTAACCCTAATTTCGAGTCCTGTACCCTAACCCTAATTTCGAGTCCTACAACCACGTAGAGACGCGTTGCGATCGAAAATCGAAGCTTGCTCGGAAGCTCGCCTGCGAAATCGAGGATCGTCCATATCGCAGCAGTGGCATAAGCGAAACCAGAAGAAAGAGGATCGCCGGAAGGATCGATTGCGGCGGCGATAAGGATCGTCGATACCGACGAGCGAAGAACGCGAAGGACGAGAGAAGCACGGAAGAACGGAGATATCCGACGTTTTCACGAGCCGGTCGAAGCTGATCTTACGGTGTTTGCTCTTCTCATTTCCTCCGGCTAATATGCCGAGATAACAAACCTGCATGTTCCCTCGATGATCTCGAACGCGAACAGCAGCGAAAAGCGGCAGCGGTCAGTTCGAAGATCACGGTGAACGGATTTCCGTTATCGCAGAGTTTATCGGCTATGCGGGGTTACGAGGGAAAACCGTGTGGTTAGATTCGACCAGGATCGCGGGGTGCCGACGAAAGGACGACTGCCGTTAAACTGGATAACGGCGGAACAGTGGGGAGAGGTGGAACAAAAGCGTCCGAGCACGTGAGAGAAGAACAGCAGTTTTCGGAGGAGACGAGTCTCGAGTCGAGTGCGGTGTGCAGCTACGCAAAGAGAAGGAAGGCCCCGACGTATTTTGCACATTTATCGTTCGCCGAATAAAGAAGTATCCGCCGGCGACGAAGTGAATTGTTGTTTCGCAAGCAATTTTTGTTCGATCGATTTTGTGACCAGCGTCTCCCGCCGCGAAGCAGGTTTCGTTTGGCCGCACTCGTCGCGAGTGGTTTCCGCCAGGAAATATCGTTTCTCGCGCCGGAAGGGCACCCTTCGAACGGTTCAAAACGGGTTCCACAGTATCGAACGTGAGTGAAACATTGGATAGAACGAGGATTTGCAGCGTCCGCCGTGTTCCGAATGTAAAATGTCGACGAATTTGCTTATCGAAGTGTTCGGAGAAACGAGTTTGTCCGACGAGCGAATTGTTTTCACGCGATATCTTTCGCCTTTGTCTCTCGGATCTTAGCAGATCGATTTGTTCGAATTCGATAGATCTTTTAGAAATATAATTGATTTTCGATGCGATAAATTTTCTCTAAGGGGATACGATTATTGGAGCATTGCGGCTTGTTTTTTATAGTTATCGATTGTCGACGACTACAAAACTCTCTTCCCAAATTGTCCATTTTTTTGTGCATCGGATTTGTCCGACGAGCGAATTGTTTTTACGCGATATCTTTCGTCTTTGTCTCGCGGATCTTAGCAGATCGATTTGTTCGAATTCGATAGATCTTTTAGAAATATAATTGGTTTTCGATACAATCAATTTCCCCTAAGGGGATACGATTATTGCAGCCTTGCGACTTGTTTTTTATAGTTACCGATTGCCGACGATTAGAAAACTCTCTTCCCAAATTGTCCATTTTTTTATGCATCGGATTTGTCCGACGAGCAAATTGTTTTCACGCGATATCTTTCGTCTTTGTCTCTCGGATCTCAGCAGATCGATTTGTTCGGATTCGATAGATCTTTTAGAAATATAATTGATTTTCCATACAATCAATTTTCCCTAAAGAGATACGATTCTTCGAGCATTGCGGCTTGCTTTTTATAGTTACCGATTGCCGACGACTATAAAACTCTCTTCCCAAATTGTCCATGTTTTTTTTATGCAATCTGAGCGTCAATTAGAGAGCTGTCGCAAGCGTTTATCGCGAATCTATTTAGAAGAAATCATCGCTTTTATGCTGCTGCATGCAAAAACTGGTCAATTTCAGTGCAACGGAGACACACGACGATTACGTTCGCTATTTCATTCCGTTTATGCACTCGCGAACGTAACGATCGCGTAGAATACGCTCTAGTCATGTCATTGACAACGAACGAGTCGAGTGTTTTTTAACGGTCAATGCATTACCGAACAATCGATAATTGTCTGTTTACACGCCTACGCCATCGAACGAATGACGCTTGCAACGATTTTACTATCTTGCCACGTATGATCTACGAGGACGTCGCATAATAACACTGTCTGACACGATTTTTGAGTTCCTATAGCCACTATAAAATTCTTGTAGAGCTTCCACTCCCTGAACAAGAATCCGAAAACCGAATTGCTCCATCATCCTCGGTTTTCAGCAGCGAAGCACGTGGCGACAAAACATCGTGTATATGTTGCCGACAAACATTTTCTCGACCCACCCAAAATGTACATCGTTCCGACACTTCTATCGGACCGTTTCTTCAGAAATGTCTACAGAATCCGATCCTGGGTAGAGTTTTCGTGTTGAACAAAGAACTTTTCGTAAAAATACAAAAATATTGCGGAGAAACTGCGCACGTCGACACTTTTTCAAACTTTGACATCAATTTATTGCTATTTAGGACCAAAAACAATTGATAAATCGCATGTCATTATATTCGGGAAACTCTCCTCTATCTTTTAACACCAATCAGAACTTTCTAACGTTTGTACTTTTCATGCAATACCTCATTTTTGTCGAAAATTTTGCGTTTTTACAAAAGTTCGTTTATTTAAAAAACTGAGGGTGATGGAGCAATTCGGTTTTCGGATTCTTGTCTTGTCTTCTCTTCTTCGGAACCCAGAAAAAAGGTTTGATTTTGTCGGACAGTGTAATAATACGTGAACACGTCAAATATCTCGTAGTTGCGAACGCGATGACCGACGTTTTTCTCACTTGTTGCGTACGTTCCATTTGTTGCAGGTGTTCTTGAATCAGCACGAGGAGGATGAGATAGAAAGTTTGGTTGGCGCCAAAACCCATGGCGCGACACCATTAGTAATGGCTTGCCGGAACGGGCATTACGACGTGGCCGAGTATCTCATTGAAAAATGTGGAGCGAACATCGAGCAGTCCGGGTCAGGTAATAATGCTCGTCGAATGTTAGTCACCGCGGTGAATTGCGATATTCAAAAATTTTCTGCGTGCTTGCGCAAAACACGCGGACGATAATGATGACGCTTTTTCCGCGTGTTTCGCGCGAGCTCGCAGAAATGTTTGAATTTCACAATTCGAACGGCAAACCTCGATTGCGTAGACTATTTGCGGGATACCGATGAAAGAAGAAATGTCTTTTAATTGCTAAACGTTATTTGTACCGATGCATGACATTTTAGAGCGTTTGCATTTCGTAGACAGTTAATAATCTCGCCGAGAAGGCGATTTCTTACGATACAACGCCGTTTTGTTTGCGTTTAAAATTGCATTCTCTTGACGAATCTTGGCTCTACTCACATTTTTGCTTACGTGCTCGTTGATTTTAATAGCTTCTTGCCTAATCGTCTTCAAAGAGATCTTTTTACTTGCACAATTTTTGAAAGAAACCGTGAGAGCGCGTTCAACGTAATTGACGCACCAGATTTTCCATAATTGACGCTCGACTTGGAAGCAAAAATGGACAATTTTGGAAGAGGAGGTACGATTATTCGAGTCTTGCGTCTCGTTTTTATAGTTATCGATTGTCAACAACTATAAAAACGAGGTGCAAGGCTCGGATAATCGTATCTCCTCTTCCCAAATTGTCCAATCTAAGCGCGAATTATGGAGAAATTACTGTACCTACCACGTGCAGTAATGTCTCTCTAATTGACGCTCAGATTGTCCACAAAAATAGACAATTTTGGAAGAAGAGATACGATTGTTCGAGCTTTGTGGCTCGCTTTTTTATGGTTTTCGATTGTCAACAACTATCTTCTATCTATCTTCTCTTCTAAAATTATTTCATTTCTGTGTACAAGCTGAGGGGCAATTAGGAAGAATTTACAGTATAAAGTTACGTGTTCGAAATTTTTGTGCGCGATCTGAGCGCGAATTGGGGAGAAATTACTCTAATGAAATTCTCCACCATTGTCGTTCAGCTTATAAATCGAGCGCACAAAAATGGACAATTTGGAAAGAAGAGATACGATTATTCGAGCCTTGCAGCTCGTTTTAATAGTTCTTGACAGTCGGTAACTATAAAAACGAGCCACAATGTTATTATCTCCACTTCCGAAATTGTCTATTTTTGTGCGCGATCTGAGCGCGAGTTGGGGAGAAATTACTGTAATGAAATTCTCCAGAATTGTCGTTCAGCTTATAAATCGAGCGCACAAAAATGGACGATTCGGGAAGAGGAGATACGATTGTTCGAGCCTCGCGACTCATTTTTATAGTTACCGATTGTCAACAACTATAAAAACGAGGCGCAAGGGTGGAATAATCGTATCTCCTCTTCCCGAATCGTCCATTTTTGTGGACAATCTGAGCGTCAATTGTAGAAACATTACTGTCTATTGCAATTATCAAGATCTTTAGCAGAGACTTCGAGATATTAGCGTGCCGCAGGCACCGGCGAACTATGCAGAACTAACATTTAACATTTAACATTATTTCTAATGGCACATTTATCGTTTGCTACAGTGGTTTTCGACGGTGACACGATAGGAGGCGCGAGTCCCCTATGGTGTGCAGCGGCCACTGGCCATTATGCTCTGGTCAAGCTGCTGGTGAAGAAAGGTGCCCAGGTGAACACGTACACGGTGACACAATCCACACCTCTGCGGGCAGCTTGTTTCGACGGCTATTACGACATCGTCAAACTTCTGGTAAATTGTGGGGCGAGTACGTATTTATTCCACAAAAAACCAACATTATAAACTACTCTCTTACATCATCATTTAAACATGTAATGAAGTATCGTTCGTGGATAGGCGGATACATAGACAAAAAATCGTTAGACGTTAGACCATAAATCGTTTTGCATCCTTCTTTTTATGGTAACGAGATATCTATCAAAGATCAGCGGCTTTACACTTTTACACAGCGCCATCAACATTTTCGCGATCGCGTCAGAAAGCTCAATGATTTCATAGAATTAAAGTATTTCATTGAACTAAGATAAAAATCGCGAAGCAAACTTATTCGGCAAATCTTAATAAAGTTAAGCGATCGTTTTTAATTTTTTGGAATCAGACGTGGAAGATCTTCCCATTCGGTCATCGATCTACTCTATTTAAAACGGGGAGATCTCCCCGTTCGGTTGGCCAAGTGTTGATTATACAATTACCCTGTTAAACAACGGGCTAGCAAGATATAAACGAAAGCGAAATCTGTCGAGCGATCACAACCGGTAATTATACATAGCGTCTCGGGGTCAATTTATAGTTAACGACAGCAGTCGACCGCATTCTAAGAAGAAAGGGTTGGCTGTGCCTGGCATAAAAGGTGAAGAACATTCCGGTTATTATTTCCGACCGCAGTGGAGATCTTGACGAATGACTCATTTTCTGATTCATATACTTATATCGTCTTGCTTGGACCACGGCAGGTGTTCCATAAGAGCGACGGTCTATTTTGATCATTTCGTAAATAGAGAAGAGAAACTAATCAACGTTGAAACGCGGCTTCTGATTGCAGACATCGAGATCGCGAATCATCATGGTCATACGTGCTTAATGATCGCCTGCTACAAAGGCCACGTTAGCATCGTCAGATATCTGCTGGCCCTCAAAGCAGACGTGAATCGGAAATCCGCGAAGGGGAACACGGCGCTTCTCGACGGTGCCGAAAGCGGCTCGCTGGAGATCGTGAAGATGTTGATCAAGCATGGAGCTAAAATAGATGTGGACTGCTGCGGGACTACGCCGTTCCTCATGGCAGCTGTAACAGGTTATAGCAGAGTGAAAAATCTCGATTACATTGATTCCCCTTCCATACTACGTTTGAGACGAGGAAGTGTTAAGAGAAGAGCCTGACGTTGAACGGCTGAAAGTTGACGAATTTTTAGAAATCTATTTCTTTTCTGAAGAATTATTTAAGAAATCTATTTAAGAAATATTTTTATATATTTCTCTCTATATTTAAGAAATCTTATATTTAAGAAATCTTATATTTAAGAAATCTATTTCTTTTCTTTACTAAATTAGTAGTCCATTTAATTTTAATTCGTGGAGATATTTGACTACACTGTCAAAGTAATTACACACATTTCGTTGCTGTTGGAAAGAGTCGAAAAGCGTCAAATTCGTTAAAAAAATCATCTCTTGAAAATTATTCTATTTATTGTCAAATACGATTTGATAAGTTAGACCGCGGAAAGTGTAGGAAGCTGTAAGGTAACTTTCCGAATTTGTCTTCCCTTCATAGTAAACTCGCGTGCATAAGGTATTGCATACCATGAGGAGTTTGAATATTGGCAAATTTGTACAAAAGAATATTATGATTCTTTACTCGTGCACGCGAGTCTGGTATCGAAAATGTGACAAATACCGTGAGAACCAGCCTCGGCTAATATTGGGTTGGCTACTAAGTAATCGCCGATTTGTTCAATGAAATAAAAAATCGTTTTATTCTTGGAATGAAGTTTAATCTGTAATGTATTTTCCATTTTGTTCGATGACCTTTTGCCATCTCTCTGACAACTTGAAAATTCCACGCTCGTAGAAAGTCTGATCCTTTTCGGCCAAAAACTGAGTTAAGTGAGATTTTACAGCGTCATTGTTACGGCCAAGTGGCCAGGATTTATGGCAGGGGCCATGTGCTTGGGTACCCGGACGGTATGGGTCCGTCCCGGGCCGTTCCCGGGCACATGTGGCACCGTCATAACGTCTCCTGGTCCTTGATTACGGTCCAGTCAATGACGGTTGGGTCTAGCATTGTTCGGGCACGTAGGCCCATCAACGCGGGATGTCTCGCAGGAGATATTTTGACACTCTCCCTCCTAACTCCCGGCCCACCGTTTTGGGGCAGTCTCGCTGGATTCGGGATTGCAGTGATTGGACCGTAATCCCTTGCCGCCCACCCTAGGTCAAGAGAAGTAGGGATGACCGAGGTCATATTAAGCATGACTCCGGTCCTCTAGCGTCAGAACAGAACAGAAAGATAGAATAGATAGAATAGACAGATAGACAGCAGAAGAGTACAGAACATTCTCAGAGCTTCAGAATAGACAGACTCACAGATAGACTAACATCAGAAGACCTTCAGACAGAACAGATAGAGAGATCGCGTAACGTTTAGGTTGCGCGTTACAAATATAGTCCCACTACAGTGGGTGGTCCTTCGAGGTAGTCGGCACCAAGTGCAATATTCAGAGGATCTCCGTCATCCATCT